TGTGAAATTTATTCAAAAGCTGAGAAATTAGGCATTGGGAGGGAAGATGAGGCAACCATTCCCATGAAAAGCGGGGTGGGGGAGAATAGTCTTCTCCCAAGCCCTACAGAGCTGCAGTGTCACAAATCACAAAATGGAAGCTTTGTGATTTCAGCTACAGGGCCGCTAAGCTAGAAGGAAATCCGCTTACGTGTCCAAAGAGGATAATCTTCTGGGAATAACATGGTAGGAATCAATGCCAGATTAGCACAAAAGCACTGTGAGGACTTTTCCAAAATCCAAATCATAAAGAAGAAAACAAAGGTCATAGGAAGCCCCTTGGAGGACCCTACTGGATTCTTCAGCCTCCTCTGACATGGGCATGCAGTGTTTTTAACACTCTAGTACAAAACAAAACAAAACAAATTGCCTACTCTGGACATAAATGCTAAGAGAGCTGAAACGTTCATTTCCATACACTTAGAGGTCATATTTCAGTTTTGCCTTAGCACGATGTATGAAGGCCTCTATTGTGTTTATTCAACAAACTACACTTAGTGTGATGTATGAACTACCTTCCTAAAATTATGCAGCGCTTATATCTATAGCATTTTTTTTCCAAAAAAAATTTCCCAACTCTGCAACTTTCTGGAGACTGTGCCTACATGCACAATCAAATGTAGACACCAGGGTAATATAAATTCTGTGCAGTACATATATCAGGTTTGCATATCAATGGGCTATGCATAAAACATTATAGGAGGGGCATAACCCCTACTTGATTGCTGAAAATCAGCTCTCTCTGGAGATTTCAGCAGCTGTGCCTAATTATACCCAAATCATTCTGCACCAACCATAAGAGCTAGCAACATGTCGAGGAAGGATGAATGCTGCATCCCAACCTATGTGTCCTATCACCTGCGCCCATATCAAATGACTGAATTGGTTTAGACTTCCATAGACTCTAGATTCTAATGCTGCTTTCTTAATTCAGTTGTCATCTTAAATTCATAAGGATAGCAGTGAAAAAAAAATCAATACCAATGAACTTCTGTTTACAGATCTCTCATATAGCAAATATTCACCCATCTCTTTGCCAACTTAAGAGCACCTGAAAAGTATCAGTACTTTTTTGAGTGAATTACTTTATACAAACTTACAATGGTTTTGTTGGCAATTTGACCTGGCCCACAGATCCATTCTTGCTGTGAGAATAGCATTGCAGCAAACTCCAGTGCTGAAATGCTGCATGGAAGCTTTGATGGTAAGCCTGTAATGCCATCTAGCGAGAGAAGCCGTCCACAACCACTGCAGAGCAGGAGAAACTGGATCCCACTGGATGATGCACCTATTTATGGATCTTATTATGTACCAAAAAGCTAATTCTAATGCTTATTTTTTTAAAAAATGTTAAACATTTGATTGGGGTTTTTTTATACATGGAGTGTTATGAGCCCGATAAATTTTCTAGCGGTGTCTAAAGTGCAAAAGTAGGCAATTCTACTAAGGTAGTATCTAGCAGGTAATTTTGAATTTGTCTCTCCTCTTAGACCAACATGGCTCTCTTGATGTTTTTGTTTAGGACCCAAAACTGTTCCAAAGTCTGTCTCTTGAGGGGAGTAAGAAATGTCTGAATCTTAGGGGGGTATTATTCACCTTTATAGACACATATAAAATGCACAATAACAATGCAACATTAAAATATTCACAATTGAAAATTTTATTTAAAAAAAATTGAATGCAAAATACAAGTATGTAACACAATCAAACCTGGGCAAGATAGTATTACGGCCCAAATGCCTTACAGAAAAGAACTGTTTTGAGGTGCTTCTAAAAAGCTGTCTCTGGGAGCCAATCCAATGTCCAGTAGGAGGTTGTTCTAGAAAGACCAAACTGCTATTGGAAAAACACAGCACCTCCAAGCCTTGGGCCCTCTCACCTCCCCAGGATGGGTGGATAGACACTAACAGCTTCTCCCAGTTAGATCAAACTGGCCAGTCCAATTCCAAAGGGAGAAACCAGGTAACCACGTAGAGCTTTAGAATTAGTACCGAAACTTTTAAGTTTCACCTGAAGCTGATTGGCAACCAGCACAGAGTCCAGGGAAAGAAATAATATTGCAGAAGTAGGAAGGAATAATTAAGGAGGGACTCACAATCCAAAGATTACAGTCTGGAGACTGAAGCAAGAGTAAGGAAAAATAGGCCTGCTTGATTTTCTTCAGTATAATATGAGACAAAGAGAAACTTGGGCAGCTTTCAAGATGAATTGTTAATCCTTCAAAGAAGAGTCAGATCAAGAAACAAACACTCCTATTTTGATGATGTTGAGTAAAATAATAGAATCTTAAAAATGTGTTTCTCTCTGGAGATTATTTCCATTGTATGCTGTATATTCCTTTGGATGAGAAAAGAAAAAACGTAACCCTAGAAAAACTAGAAGTCCCAGAGATCCATTTCCCCCTCTGCACCCATCTAGATGCACACGAACAGCAGAGGAGGGTATATATTTTTTAAAATATATTCTTCACAAATCACATTGAAGAGCTGGCATATGATAAAATGGGAACAGTATTTAGACAGCGTGGGAAGTACCAGCTGTTAACCGAGAGCCTCCTCCAGGCTTTATTATATTCATATTGGTCCTTTTTCTTATCAATTTTGGGACAAATCCTACTTTCTTAAATAGATTCCTCTCCTTGGTCTGTAGTTTGCAGGCTCATGGGTGGAATAAAGGGAAGGGCTTCAATTATATGTTTCTGTATTTCAAATATTTTCTTCCTTTGGACAAGATTATTATATAAATGTGACTTGGCATCTCTAAATTTACATGCAAATAAAATGTGTCTGTGTGGGTTTTCAATGCTAATTTCAGTGAAAACATAACCCATTGAAATTATTGGTATGGAAGGGAAGGGGTTTCATTTAGGAAAAATGTGATTTCTATAAGCCAAGCAATGCTGTGCATTCATGTGACCTGATCCTAGCTTGTGTAGTGAATGTACTTTGTAGGTCAGATTCCAGATTATATTTACAATATAACTCATCACATACATAAACTAAGAAACCCCAGCACATTTCTCCAATGGAGAAGGTTTGGCCTTTTTAAAAAATCAAGAGAGGATTCTGCAGAAAAAGGCCACATGAAGAATCAGGTGTTTTTTTTTATCTCAGCAGCCTGTGAACATTTGCTATCTCAAAGAAACTGGAGAAATCAACAGACTTTGAACACAATCTGCTTTAAAACTGAAGAAATGATCAGAATCTATACCAAGTTGTAGTAGGTTACTTTTTGGTACTGTAGTAAGTGTAATGTTCTTTCTCTCACTATACAAATTATGGAATTAGTTATTTTTGAGCCCTCATTTACACTTCAGGTTGTGTTCATAAAGATAAGGGGTTTTGTGTATGTGTGATCTGTATTAAAAAATTTCCAGTCTGTCTTTAGGGAAACTACTCTTTATCTGTTGGAGAAAATTATATATTCTTTTCAATTTTTCTTTAACTAATCTGAAAGTTACTGTATTTTTATAATCTGGGGAGCTCCATACAGAATCTCTGATTTTAAAGGTTAAAAGAACTTTTCTGTGTTTTATTTTTTTTTCTATTTTAATTAACTTTGATTTTGTTTACCTTCTGTGATATGTCTTTCAAGGTGGGAGGAAAGGAGAGCTGATTCTTCTAGTACCACTTTTATGCCGCACGCCTAGGAGATGGCACTATAGAACTTCTTAGAATATTTCCACTTTGATTATTTCTGAGAGCATTATTTCTTTTGCACTCCAGGGTTAAGCAGTGGACGGCAAGCGAAGATAGAGGGTAGTGGCAGCAGCTACCAAGCTGCTTCCCCACAAGGAAACGGAATCAAGAGTATGAAGGCCCAAAACTATTTCTGAGAGAGATTTGTAAACTCCTACTCTCTACCTTGCAGGCTGCCTGGATCATGTTTTCTCAGAAAATACCATTAAAGTGTGACCCACCTCAAAATTGCATCAAATAAGAGCGTCCATTGGAGGGACAGAATAAAATCTGCAAGATGTTGGAGCAGGTTCATAATGCAAAAGCCCTGGTTCTTTTTGTACATGAATGTCACATAGACGCCCTTTCAAATGGTTCAAGGCATCTGCCATTTTGGCAGATTTTGACTTCCCTGCAGATGCCACTGGCCTCAAATTAATACTGAATGTTAGAACCACATTAAGTTTGGTAGGGATTGCATGTCAAAGATCCACCCAAATAGTGTCAAAACCGAGAGTGCTATTTTCCTTAGTCTCCCTCCTTACCAACTGGGCTTCACACAGCTGCTGTGCATTTGATTCCCATGGAATTTTGCTGTTCATTTTTAAAATGTGTAAGAAACTAGGAAAAGCCCCCCTTAACCTGTCTCTCTCCTACGAAAGTTTTGTTTATTTCTGGGTAATACTCAACCACAGCTACGCAGCTAAGCCTGGATCCGTAATCTACTCAGACTAAGGAAACTGATCACAAAAAATGTAGAAACTTCTGAAGCCTCTTTCATAGGGAAGGTCTCACAAAAAAAATAAAAATAAAGGAATGCAAAGAATAAAGGACCCTCTAAATTATTGTCAGGAATTGAATGCATGCGTTATTTGAAGATATTATCAATTCCCAATCGCCTTACCTTCTCCGCCCCCGCCCACCCAAAGCCTAACAGTCACCTTCCCTCCCACCCACCACCCCCGAAATACCTAACTGAAGAAGCTACTCCCTTATATAGTATGCGTTACGGTAAAAGAGTAGGGGATACGTCACTTCCTCCCCGGAAGGCAGGAGAGAAGATACTTAGAGAATCGAAAGTTGAATCCTATCTCAGTGTGCCAGTAAAACCATAACTTGTCCCGGAAGTGTGCTATCAAAAAAAAAAAAAGTGGGGGGAAGTCTTCCTCTGCATTTTCTTAAGTCCGCGACGCGAGTCCGCCGTCGATTTCGCTCCGAGTCTAGCGGGTCTCGTTCTACCAGAATAGAGCCTCGGTGGCCTCCGTACTGAAGTAAGGCACGGGTGGGGCCGATGTAGGCCAGGCCGCGCGGGCGGGGCCGGGGCGATGGGGAATCTGTTCGGTCGCAAGCGGCAGACCCGCGTTACCGAGCAAGATAAGGCCGTGCTGGTGAGAGCGGGGACGGGGGAGGAAGCGGGAGGAAAGGTGGTGGGAATGGCAGGCTGCGGCCGTGCGCCAGAGGTTCAGCTTCAGCTTCAGCTTCTCTCTCTCTCTGGCATCAGACCCAGCAGGGCTGCCTTTCCTGCGGAGTAACTCTTTGCTGCTCTGCTCGCCCCTTTCCTGCCTTCGCCCAGCCACTTTCCTCCGGAGGAACGAATGCAAAAAAAGATCCCGGGGACCGGGGTTTCTGGCACGTGCGGGAAGGGGGCAAAAGAGGTGCACCTGCACAAGTGTGTAACTCAGGAAGGCGGGAAAGGAAACGACTTTTGTTCTCTTTTACGGGCGGAGGCTTCCTCCACCGACTTCTTTGCAGTCCTTTTCCACTTTTTCTCCCCCCTTCTGTTTAAATAAAAAGTGTGTCACTCTGTGTGTGTGTGTATGTATGTGTGTATGTATACACACACACACGTATGCATGCATGCATGCATTTATGCAAAATATATATACAAAATATACACAAAATACTGGCCTGCCAACTTTTTTTTTCCTTTGAGGGGTCCTCGGTGCTCTCTGAAGCTTGGTGGTTGCCTTGCAGACGCTTCATTACCCAAACTAAGGTAACATCATCAGCACTAGTATCACGATCATCATCTGATGATGTTGAACCTAGTTTGAGTAATGAAAAGTCTCCAAAGCAACCACCAAGCTTCAGAGAGCACTGAGGACCCCTCATTTTAACCAGAGGTTACAAATATTTTTCTTTTTTGGCGTGTCAGTGCAATGAGGCAGAGCGCTTCAGCCAATAGCTTGTTAGGTAAAATAATAAAATAATTGTGTGTGTGTATATAAATTAGCATGGAATAGCAAGTTGTATGTGATCACATAACCTACCTTTGTCCCTAGACATTTTGTGGGAACACAGCCATAAGCCAACTGGTAGATGGGTGGAAGCTCCCTGGATATTATATGCTGTCTTGAGTTGGGAATCTTGGCTTGAAGTCTTGTTTAAGCCCAAGTCTTTTGACCCAAATCCTACATCGCAAAGCTTTTTAGATGATCTTAAAAATATCCGGAAGTTGCTGAGTCCTTTTGAAGTTGGAATTAATGTCATACTTAGGGTGTGCTGTAGAATTTTTCTGAATGTCTTGAATGTTAAAAAGCATAGCCTACTACTATTTCAATAATGTGAAATAAGTTGGAAAGCAGCTTAACTACCAGGAAGTAAAGAATATTTTGAGAAAAGGACATAATATGTAGAATGAAGAAATTCTGCGGGTTGTAGAAATGCATAAAGTAAAATGCAGATCATTGGACAGGAAATAAGGGGTCTTTCCTCAAATGTTTGTTAAGGGAAATCTCAAACAACCGTTCTTTGTTTCTTAATCTGGAATCTTTTCATATAGTTACTTAATGTCCACTAGACGCGTGTAGGAAATTGAATTTGTATCATCTCAAGCCAGTGTGTTCATAGAAGCTTTGTATTGTTTCTTACAGTGAGATTCTTGCTGTCAAGTAGAAAGTTTTCAGCGGGAATATTTTCTAATCCTACCTGAAAGAACCAGGGATTGGACTTGGAACATTTTTACAGTCAAAGTACATGCTATGCTATGAATCACAGTTCTTCATTTAACAAGAAAATCTGAGTGCCTTATCACCTTTGCATTATCACGGATGTTTCATGACACTTCAAAGTTCGTTATTACTTTATGAGGAGCCTTTTTATATATGTCAATAGCTTTCAGTGCAGATTTACCTACTACGTTGAATCTGTCGAAAGAAAAATTGTGAGCCAGTTTCACTTTTGGTTCTTCCGTATTTCCATATGACTAAAATTGTCATTTGTATTTATTACATTAGAATTTAAGTAGATCACCATTGTTGGGTGTAATTTAACTGAAGATATTAAAATTGTATACAGAATGGAAAGAAATGTTGGAATACAATTACATATTTTTTAAAAATAAAAAATATTATTAGCCAGAAGAGAGAACCTTTTACCCTTTGAATTCCAGTCAGTGGTCATATATGAGAGGAACTGTAGTCTAACAATATCTGGAAGATCAAATTTTTTGTTAGTGAATTCATAGCAACATAAACAATTGTTCTGAATGATACTTAAACTTACTGTTCCTAATATGGCACTCTTGTGACTTTAAATTCAGAAATGTGTGAATCCCAGGGGATGGCAATAACTCTCACCATTATTTTTTTAGTATTTTTAATATATGATTTATAACAATGGCACAGTAGCAATGGCTTGACTTTAATTTTGCATAACTTAACTTTCAACTCCAGTTTAACTTTCCAGTATTTTCCAGCACAGTAGATTGGAGATCAAGTTTGCTGGTTCACAGATATATCTTCTTAAGGTAGAAAAGATTTCTTCTAATGGACTGTTTGTTTTCTTCTCCAGCAACTAAAACAGCAACGAGACAAATTAAAGCAATATCAGAAAAAGATTTTTCTACAGCTGGAGCGAGAGAGGATTGTTGCTCGTCAACTACTAAAAGATGGCAAGAAAGAGTAAGTCACTTCTGATAGAGTTTGAGCTTATTTATTTATATGTATTTGTACCCCACCTTTATTATTTTGAACAAATAATTTAAGGTGGCAAACATATCTAAACATACCTTCCTCTTCTTATTTTCCCAACAATAACAACCCTGTAAGGTGAGTTGGGAGGAAGAGTGATTAGCCCAAAGGCACCCAGCCAGCTTTCATGGCTAAGGCAGGACTTGAACTCTTGGCCTCCCACTTCTAGCCTTGGACCAGGGTGTCAAACTGGAGGCGGGAGGGCCAGATGCGTCATGCACAAGCCACACCCACCCCAGCTCCGTGAATGGGGGAAAAGTCCATGACAGCACAAAGTTTGATCCCAATGACTTAAACCAAACTGGTTCTGTGTATATTATATGTAGTGTCAGATTTCAATACGACCTTAGCCAAATGATTCCCACTGGTGTTTCACCTTGAAACATGCCCTTCTGTGCTTTCTAGTTGTCTGCTGTGTATAGTGGAGGCTGCCGGTTTGAAATGTTCTGGTGTGTCCCAACAATCCTTTTGGTTGCAGCATTTTCAGTAGATGCCCCTAAGTTCCAGAATTCTCTTGTGAGGCAGTCCATCTCATTTCCTTACCAACAAACTTCCAAAAGTTAATGAAAAACTTTATTTTTAAGAGCGATTGTATTGAATAATAGTTTTTATGTTTGTAACCATTTGGCTATTTTGGGATTGAATGTTTTTTTGGGGGGGGGGGGCGATGATTGTAGGTATTGTGTTTTCTCCTGTTTTCTAAGGTTTTATATTTCTATTTTTTATTTGTTTACAGTAACTATAAATAATTTAAATAATTTTTTTAAAAATACCTGGAAATAGTTTGACAGCCAGTGCAATTCAATCACTGTAGTGTGTTGACATAATGGCCACACACTTTTAAAACATTTTAAAGGGTTAAAAAGATTTCTAGGGAATAAATATGTCAGTTTTGTTGGCTATAATGGTGAAAAATAAGGTTTGCTTGTCAAGAGGCAATATGCCAGATTAGTTCTGCAACAGACCTGTATATTTTTCAAGGATATTTAGTTAACTTGTCAAATTATCAAACCCTGAAATAAATTATTTTTTTCTATTGAGCTGGGACAAAAATGGCTTTGTATAATATTTTTTTCTAGACTTGCTTTTTCATCCACTCCCTTTTTTCTCCCTCTAGGAAAGCCAAGCTTCTGCTAAAGAAGAAGCGTTATCAGGAGCAATTGTTAGACAAAACTGAAAACCAAATTAGCAATTTAGAGCGCATGGTATGTGGGATTGAGTTTCTGATTGCATCTGCTCATTTGATTTTCAGGATTTCTGAAGTGTGGCTTACATGTAAATTTCTGTGTTTAGTTTAATGCACTTTTAATATAAGAGGATTTCTTTAACTCAGGATTCACATTGACTTTTATGGTGGAATGCTGTGATTTAAGCTTTGTTTAGGAGTACTGTATATACTCACAGATAAGCTGACCCCTCAACATTTAGTCCAAATACCATGAAAAATATGTCACCCTCAGATAAGCCAACCCTTGGATTTTTTAACCAAGATACTGCTAAATATTTGACTGCTGTTTGTGGATGTGATAGTTTTTTAAAAATCTGAGCTGTGGTTCGCAGGTAAGCCAAACACAATTTTGGGGTGTATTTTGATACCTAAAATTCTCAGCTTATCCGCAAGTATATATGATACCCCTGCGCTTAGCACAAGTATATATTGCTTGTCTTGAGAATAGAATGATAGCTTTGAACAGCATTATTTGCTTTAATGGTCACATGATGTTGACCGAATTGTCCCTCATTCCATCTTTTTTTTTTGCTCATCCAATCCTCTTATCCAACTTGTTGCAACTGTAATGTCCCTGCATTTTAAGGCGGGTTGATAGCGTATACGTTCATGTGTTTGCGTGCCTTTTTGCAAGAAAAGGGGAGAGGTAGAGCAGAGGTGGTATTCAGTAGGTTCTGACCAGTTCTGGAGAATCAGTAGCAGAAATTTTGAGTAGTTTGGAGAACCGGCAAATACCACCTCTGACTGGAGATTTTACAGTGCCCTTCCCCTGCCGCCCCCATCAAGCCATGCCCACAGAACCAGTAGTAAAAAAAATTGAATCCCACCACAGGTAGAGGCATCAGAAATTAATTTGAAGAACTTGTAGTCCTAGTAACTCATTAGACACAGATTCATACAGAGAAGTTATATAACTTAGATTTCTCCTGCTTTTATTACTGACATAGCAAGATTCTCATTTACTAAGGAAATGCTACTTATTTTGCTTGGTGCTTTACTGTCCATGGATACCGTGTAGACCATATCTGGGCTTTTTACAACCCCCAGCCTACGTCTGGTCCTTTTGCTGTCACTGACTAGCCCACATGAATTGCTTTTATTTTGAAGACAACTGCTGATTTTTTTGTGTGTGTTTCAATTTAAGTATGTGTGCCCTTCCATGGATATACACCTTCATAGCCCTATTGGTTTGACCTTGCACAATAATCCCAGTTCCTGGTATGGCTCCTTGGGAAAATGTAATTGCCCAATCTTGCTGTAGTGTACAAACAAGTGTACAAACTGTCAGCCAGTGAAACAGGCTGCCACTGACTGCCTTCTATCCGCTAGAAGTCATCTTCCGGTTGCTTTCCTTAACACATAAAGATAGAACAGGGCATTCTGTGATCCTTGTTCTTCTCTCTTACAGGTCCACGATATTGAATTCACACAGATTGAGATGAAAGTGATTGAGGGTCTCAAAATTGGCAATGAATGTTTAAATAAAATGCACCAAGTAAGTATGATCAGAGCTGCCCGGCCTCTCTTAAATTGCACCCCATTGCCAGTCATCTTGTTGATGCAAAATTGTGGGGTTCTCTTACAGGTTATGTCAATAGAAGAGGTGGAAAGAATCATGGATGAAACCCAGGAGGCTGTAGAGTACCAGAGGGTATGTATGGGTTGCACAGTCCTTTCTACAGGGCTTGGTGCAAGACATTGTGTTTTTATGACTTGCATTTCACCACTTCACTCCCTTGGATTTTTAACATACTTGTTCACATGTAGTATAAAGTACCTTGCCATATTATCTGGAAGTGTGTATTACATTAGTCCTGAGTATCCGAAGCTGAAACTCAGGATAGGTACAATTGTTCATATTTTTTTGATGCCAATGAAGGAACTGAAATGTTTGAGATCTGTTACTTCCTGGTGTTCACTGAGCCACCTGCCTTTTTCTTTGCAGCAAATAGATGAGATATTGTCTGGAAGCTTCACTACAGAGGATGAAGATGCTATTTTAGCTGAATTAGATGCCATCACTCAGGTAAGCACCAATTCCCAAGTCAGGGACTTAGTTCAGGAGTTGTATTTTGAAGGGGTATCTTTTATGAGGAAGCAGCATTTTTATCCAAAATATTCAGCTTACAAGTCGTCCTTGACTTAGGACCACAATTGAGCCCAAAATTCCTGTTGCTAAACGAGAGTTAAGTGAATTTTGCCCCATGTTTCTTGCCACAGTTGTTAAGTGAATCATTGCAGTTGTTAAGTTAGTAGCATGTTAGCTGTTAAGTGAATCTGGCTTCCCCATTGACTTTGCTTGTCAGAAGGTCACAAAAGGGGATCGCCTGACCCTGGGACACGGCAACACTCATCACTATGAGCTAGTTGACATGCATCCAAATGTTGATCACAGATCCAGAGGGGTGCTGCAACAGTCATAAGTGTGAAAAATGGTCGTAAGTCACTTTTTTCAGTGCTCCTTGTAGCTCAGAACGGTCACCAATGACCTCTTTGAGGACTGCCTGTATATCATTTGCGTTAACCTTCTGAATCTTCAAAGATTCATCTTGATCCCTCAAGATTCATTTTAAATAGAAGGATAGAATATTTTCCATTTATTCTTGGATTTTCCAAAATTTGGAAATCCTTTACTCTGGGATAATTAAGCTTTGTTTCCACAATAAGTAAGCATTCATTCATATGAGTGCCAGTATGCTGCATTTTGCATTCATGTTAGAAATAGATGGGAAACATCTATTGTTAACAAAAATAATTAATACTTCATTATCGTGCAGAGAGGAGGGCAATAAATATCTCACTCCAGTAATTAAAATTCAGGGTAGAAAATTCTAGTTGTTAGGATAATAATGATGGAATTATATGTTAAGATGAACTGGAAAGGAATAGGAAAGATATTGGGGATTGTAATTACCTTCATGAATTCAAAAGCAATTCAAAAATCAGAACTAGAAAAAAGTGTGATCCCTCTTAAGATTAGGAGCTTTTTCAATTCTGATTCTTCTTTACATGTTTTAACTGACCAAAGAAGAAGTTTGCCATACTGACAGCAAAATAATGTAGTCCTTAAAGCTGATGTATTTCTATCAGTCTTTATTACAATGAATAATGAACTTTAACCCAGAACCCTTAAGTATTTTTATAGGTTGCTGATAGAACTTAGCTCAAGAAAATTCAAACAAATAATCTGGCCGCATTAGGTTTTTTATTATTATTATTATTATTATACTTTCATTCATTAAACATGAAACTCAAACATGTATTCAAATTATTATTCATTTATTGTAATATTGTAATATTATTATTTAAACTTAATAATAATTCTGCCTTCCTGACACCGAACGGGCAGTTGAGCTGCCGCTCCTCCCCACACCATGGCTGGGCCTGGACAGCTATCAGGTGCAGTCCCTGTGGTTATGGGATTACTGGTCTTCGGATTGGTGGTGGCTTAGCTACCGTGAACCAACCCAGGCACCTGCCATCACCAATTATGAGAAGAAATCAACAAAATTGCACACTGGATTGGTCGTCGCCCGGGTCCATAAGGGCCACGTCAGATGCTATGGCTTCTGGACATCTGTCGAAAAATGGGCTACAGGGCCCAGTTGTTACTGCTGGAGAATCAGGGCATGCAGCTGCAAAGCGATTGGAACAAAAGCGCAAAACCTGGACAATTGAAGAAAATTGAGAAATCATCAAATGTTACTACCAGGCAGAACCAACAGCCAGGGGATTTCAAAATAGAATTATGCAAATAAGTGATCTGCAGAAAATACAAATCAGAATTTACTTTATATCTTATCTTCTTGCTGTGAGCAAGAAAGAAGGAAATAAATCGTGCCTCAGTAATCTTCTGGTTATTCCTTCTTACAAGTTTGGAGGCCCCTGTAGTTCTTCTACTGTAGTGTCTACCAGCAGTTTCAAGGATAAAGGAAGGGTTTGTATCTCAGAGACCATACATTGTTGCTTGACAGAAAATGATGACTCTGTATCCGATTGGAATTATTATGAACCCATAGCTATCAATTTGAGCAATCCACAATATTTCCTAAGAAATACTTATGCTTGTCCCATGCTATGCAGTACCATAGACATGGTATTGTAATCAACAACCAGCCAGCTGTGGGAGATGTAGAAAAAACACTGAATAGCTTTGAACCAGGAATTCCAAGAACTATAAATTTAGATGTGAAAAAAGACCATTTCAAACCATTTCTCTAACGTTGGCAAGAAAACTACATGTCCATCCCCATGCAGTCCTTGTGAATTGAGCTTTATTCATTGAAGAGTCAGTAGCTTCGCTTAACCAAATTATTCAGAAATACCCGTCAAGGTGTTGGAGGCATAGTATAAATAATACAGGCTCAAAACTCTAGAATTGGCAGACAGAAAGTAACATAGTTATTTCCTGTGCATTTAAAAGTTCTACAGTTAATACAAAGCTGTTTCCTGTCTTTAGAATATGTATTTCACAAGAACCATTTTTTTCTTCCAGGAGCAGATTGATCTTCCAGAGGTTCCCTCAGAGCCTCTCCCAGAAAAGATTCCAGGTAGTTTTATCTGTTTAGAGTTTATCCTCTCCTTTTGATACTGCCATCGTGCACAAAGGTGGCTCTTGGTCTTTGGCTGTGACTAATATAGACTTAATTCAGGACAAATGAAATCTACAGAACATTCACAAACATTTATAATAGTTTGTATCAAAGTCTACTCTGTGTTCAGGCCCCAGCCAGTTACTATAATCTATGCAGAGCTTTACAGTTTGTAGTTTTAGTGTTTATATCGCTTGGTGGCAATTATTTGTAAATTACCTTGAAAGTAGGTGTGGTGTATCAGCCCAGTATTGACAAAGGGGAAGGCTGAAAAATGAGTGAATTTTCCATTTGTATTAAATTTAATTTGGTTCTGGGCCTTCCATACTTTGGCATCTCAGTGTCTGAACTACTATTTTGCAGTAGCTGCAGCTCTTTTACCTATTTTATTGTTACATTCCATTTTTTCTCTGGAAACTCAAAGGAGCAGGATGGAGATCTATTGATCTTATCTTGCTAGCAACCCTTCTAATATGAGGGTGTTACCATAGTCCATAGTCACCCTGTGAATTCATGGTTCAATAGAGGTTTGAACTTGGGCATGTCTCAGCCCTTCACTTTAATCACTATACCATGTTGCTATATACTATATAGATCTTATAAGAGGTTATTTTTTCACTGCATTATACTCAAGTGCTTCTCCCATTTCAAGCATAAAACATAACCTTTTAAAAGTAATTCTTTATCTAGAAACTGTTTTCCTATCTCTCACCTAATTTTGAATTACTATGAGAGACTAAATTAGACTACTAATTTATTTCTTAAAACACCTGGCTCCTGTTTTTGTTCAATTTGCTTGTCTCTTTTTTTTCTGAAAGCAAACACTGAAATGTAAAATAAGTGGTGCTGTGTAGTGAATTGGTTGAGAATGGAAGTAAAACGCGAGAGTTGGGCAAAAAGGATGAGAACTAAAAAGTAGGGTCTTTATGCTGTCTCAGTTTTTGCTTGCAATGCAAATGTAGTATTAGTCTATGACTCATTAAAGCAGCCGCATCTGATTTCAGGATCATGTAGCAACGGGCAAAGACTTCTCTGCAATAGTTGCCGTTGTATGATCCTGGAAAACAACACAGCTGCTTAAATGAGTCATAAGCAGGTCCCATTTTTGCACTCCTGCATATCCTGAAGCGCCTCTTGCAAACTGAATCTATAGCACAAGATGTCAACTACCAAGTGCACACTCCCAAAGCAGTTTTCTGTTTTGTTTTGTTTTTAGCAAGTTATTTGTAATTTTGATCATGCCTTGGTGCTCTCAAAAATAGATTGAAAGTGCATCTATTTTGAATTGGTTTTGCTTGGACCAGATGATAGTCTGCCTAAAATGCAATGGATTAAAACTGAATCTGGACAAGTCAAAAGGCTTGGTAGTTGGTGAGTTCTCAGACGATTGGGAGGGACTCTTCCTATTCTACATTAATATCTTTTTTTTCTCCTGAAGGAGTAAATCTACAATTTGTTGGAGAGATTCTTGGACCTTGTGCCATCCTTGAATACACAGATCAATTAAGTAGTCTAGACTAGAGCAGGGCTACCAAACTCACGTCATGTGGGCCGGATGTGTCACTCACCGGCCACTCCGACCCCCTGGTTTAGCGAAGGGGGGAAAGTTGCGATATGTCACATGATGACAACATGATGTCATGAGTTTGACACCTCTGATCTAGAGCATCTTTTTTAACCTGCATATGATTTGCTATTTCACATCTTTTCTGGAGAGATCATATTGTTTTGCTTTGCTTACCTATAAAATGGACTATTACAACATACTCAGTGTAAAAGGTGTTCCTTAAGGAGAACTGGAAATGGCCTCTGAGCCAAATGGCAGTGGCTTTACTCATCTCACAGATGTATCTTATGCATGTGATGCAATTTGGCTAAGATGCCCACCAACAAATTTTTGAATCGGATTCAAGGTGCTTGATACTAAATTTCTGAAAGACTTGAGTCCCACCATCCCGAAGGAAAGATTTCCTGTGCATGTTGCAATCTCGGAGTTACATTCTTCCGATAAAGGGCCTTTGTATATGCAACTCTGGGAAGAGACTTATTTGGGAATCTGCAATGCTGGTAATGGCTCCAGTGCTATGAAGCTCCCTTTTCCTGATAGTTTTGCTGCTTCCTTCTGGCATTTTTTGGGGGAGAATAGGGAAATTGGGGAGGAATTAGAATCTATTTTTTCTCTTTCACTTTTCCCCAGAGAGTGCATTTTGATCTGTAGTCTTTAATGTCATTTTCAAATTGTTTTATTATTGGCGGGGGAAGAGGGGAAATTACGATTGTTTTTTTAAGGATTTTACAAAATGTCACAATATTTTGTATATTTTGTCTTTAGTACTTAGAGGCTGGCTCTGCTGAGAGCATGCAGTATATAAATATGAGAAATAACAACTATGTAAGAGACATCCAGCTATAGAATATCATATGTAAATAGATAGCTCTTCTAGCAAGCAGAAAGATCCGGCTTTTATTTACGGAGTTTATTATTTAAACCTTTTCTTGGTTTGTCTAATGGTTCCCTTAAGTGGGCTAAACCTGGGAGGATCCGTCAGAATCAGAAAAAAGCTTTCAGCGATACTGGACAGAAGAATAGGCTTTTCAAAAGAACCACAATGTTGCTCTGCTTGTGCTACAGCATCTCTTGCCACTTGCATTCTGCATTCACAGTATGATTAATAGTCGCACAGTTGATTGGCATGTTCTCCTATGAACGTCTATGCCTTCTCACAGTGGCTCTCTTTTAAAAGGCATTAGGTGGCCAGTGGGGGAATATAATTGGTCCGCTAAGGCCAGAATTGAAGAGTGCACTCGTAATTAAGCATAGCTTTTCCAGAAAGTCTGGGGCAGGGAGTGGGGAGGCTGTATTTGAGCAAGCATTGTGCCTTTGTTAGTTGACCTTGAAAAAAAGATCTGGTATATTAATGCAGCTCCCGAAGAATGTAACGGCACAAACACACATACCTTGATCGTTCTGGAAGAACAGAGTGGAATTCACCGTTCACTTTGGAGGGAGTGTTTGTAGGAGCAGAAGGCAAAAAGAACTTATGTCTGAGATCCTGCAAAGTTGCTCCGGGTGTATGTCAGTGGCAGGATTGCATAAACCGCTGCTTAGAATTGACTGTCTCTAGAACCATTCAAAACCAATAACTCCTTCCTCTTTGTGTGTGTGTTTTTCCTTCTCCACAGAAAATTCGCCCATCAGAATCAAACCAAAGCCAGAATTGATTGCTGCATCTTAACTCCACTACCTGCGGGGTATCTCTGCATTGAATCTCGGAATCCCAGCATGCCTGGGATATAGGAGGCCTCCTTGCTGGCTTTACCCAGCCATACTGGAGCAGGTTTTCTGCACAGAATGGAAGCTGTAACTGGTTAATGTTCCCATATCAAGGTTATTTTGTAGCGTGCACACTCCTCCTTTTTGTAATTTAAACGGGATTAAACGGTGACTCTTAAACCTTCCAAGCCAAATGCTTTCTGCGACCAGATTTCAGCTACAGACCTGCCTCAGATGCCAGCAGAGCCTCCCTGTCTTTCGTTCTCGCTCTCTCAGTTCCTGATACACGTTGGAGCATGTTGTCACTGCTCGGCTATCCAGAGGAAAGAACTTCTGTGGAACTTCTTGGCCTTCCTCTTGACTCATTTCTCACTGGCTTTTCTGAAAGGCTGTTTTCTTTTGGCAAGGATGGAATCTCTGAACCTTGTTAAATCTGTGGGTTTTGTGTGCCAAGATGGGAGCATCTCTTCTATTAGTAGTTCCAGCTTCTTGTGTTAGGCTGCTAGTGGAGATTCGAGAAGTTGATTCCGTGTTCAGTGTGCTCTTGAGGTTAATGCACTCCTAGGCCTGGGCACTGGGGAATAATGCAAGGCTGATGGGCTCATTCATTAGAAGAAATAAGTTTTGTTTCCTGCTGTGGGAGAAGTCTAAATGGCTTGCTAAGGGTTTATGCTTCATATGCTTCCCAGGCCGCCTGCTTTTTCCTTTGCCTCCAGAGTCCCATAGCATGAAGAGGCTGAACATAAGTTCGGCTTCTGAGAGCTTCTCAAAAACAAATGAGTACAGTCATAGCAGAGGGCTTTGTTATGGCTCGTGCCCTCCTCATCTTCGTCGATCTGGGCTGGATTTTGTTTTTAATGACAGAGCCACTTCTCATCTTCATTTGTGAGTTACTAGGTGGGCTTAAGAGCAGAGTGAAACAATGCCACCCACACGATTCTCCTCATAGAAAACCTGAATGTCCCTTCACTAGTTAACACTTGAAGGCTGGGCTGTGAGATGAATAGACCTCCCTTGAGAGGATGGTTCATATATCAATAATACCCCATCAAGTTGTATTGATTTTGAAAGTATTCAATTTACTTTGGGCTGGTAGTTAAACAACGAAGGGGACTTGAAAGTTGCCTGTTCCCAGATTGGACAAGATAACGGCTGCGTTTGCATTGTTCACCAGAGGGCAGTCTTACTCTAAGCTCTTCATAACTATGACTGAAGAAACATTGAGTGGTGTGTCTTCACCTCTGAATTGCTCCAGAAGGGTTACATTTATTTTCTATTTCTTCAAGCAAATGGCAAGGGAGCACCTGAAGGAATGCAAGGTCCTGCTCTGGTGGTGTCCTGGGTATCACACAGATGGGGTTTCTTAAAAGGGCTTTATTAGACAACCCCCCCGACCCCCGGTTTACAATACAGCTCAGTGCCTGGGGAAATAGATGGAAGAACAGAAACGAGAAGAACTAATGAAAACCAAATCTGCAAAGCCCATGAAGAGAAAACACTACTGTGTGCCACGTGGCCTTAGAGAACAGGCTTGGACTTAGCTAAATCGCTTTGTGATTTCCTGATCCATACTCTTTTTGATGACTCAGGTGGAATTAAAAGTGTTGTTTAGCCTCCAGGAAAGTTCTGTCTTCTCCATTTGCTGTACATGGCCATAATTTGGCTGAATTCCTTTTGGGAGCTCCTTAAAACAGGGAAGGTAGAAGCCGAGTAGGTAGTGACAAGTTTGTAATACTTTCATTCCTCTAATGGCTTGTGTACCTTGGTTAGGAGCCAGACTCAATACGGTGTTTCTGGGTACCTGAAGCATTGGGGATACCATGACATCCTAGTGTTTTTCTTCCAGCAGGAGAGAGTGCTAAAAGGTGAAGAGAAATTTGAAGTATTTACGCAGAAGGAATGAATGACTTGACAGTCTACATTCTAAGAATGTATGTCAGGGATAGAGATGTTAACATACCCCAGAGCTTTGTTGTTCTGAGATATGTTAGTAGGGTAGCTAATTTTAATAGCTTTCTTCAGAGATCAAACCTGAAATGCAAATGAGGGCCAGAAAAGGAAGTGCTCTCACTGTGCCAGTCTAACAGATCTGCTTCAAATCGGAAGGTAGGCCGTGATGTGTTTTCATGATGCTTAAGTGTGAATTCAGGTGCTGGGGTTTATTGTGGCTTATGCAGCCATCTAGTGTTAGCAAAATTACATCTCAGATTGAAATACGAATTCAACCTGTGTCTTTCGGTGGGGAGGGGCAGGGTGTGTCCCTGAGGAGCTTGTATGCATTGTACTTTAGTTTCCTGGATTCAGACATGCTCCTATCCCAAGGAGTTGTGTTCCAATTTAATTTCCCTCAGCAAAGAAACTTAAAGCAGTTTCCTACGTGAAGGAGTTCAAACTGTAGCAGAGGTTGTGCAATTAACATAGCCCCCCATCTTGGTCCTTATCTTGAAGGTGTCTTGTCCTTGTCCTCCTGGACTTTGCTGCCTTTTAAACACCAGCTCAAAGCTTACACAAGGCTTTCTTTGGTGGAGCTATTCCTATTCTCCTGGAGCTGTGAGTGTGTATTTGGGAGGGGGTTTAGTGCTTGTGGAACTGCTGTAGTTGTCTAGCCCTGATGTAGTTTCTATGCCAACTCAATGCAATCCTGGGAGTAGGAACAGAGGAATTGTTTAAACAGTGATCATTTAGCAAAACCAAAAGGTTTCCTACCCCAACTCTATAAAGTTATAATGTATTCTAATTCTCTGTATTCTTATGGCCTGAAGATGATTTAGGTTTTATCACAAATGCTTGTTCCAAATGCAAATTTCTTTTCCCGAAGAAGCTCCAGCCTTCAACTAAAGGTAGCCGTGAACTACAGTATGTAACTTCATAACTAATACAAAATCTGTACTACATTTTTACTTGATCATTTCAGTGGCATACCACAATCTGCAAACGCAGCCTTCCTGCCGTGACATACAATCCACGGGCAGAGGGCGTACTGCTAGCCTCCCCTTCCCTATCTGTCCCCATTGATAGGTTCTTTCTCAGAGAGCTTGAAAAAGTTTTCTGGCTGAACATTTGCCTCGTTCTGTACCTTAGACCTTCCTGTCTATATTTCTTAGTCTCACTGCCCTCATCGCCCTGGACTTAAATTCTTCAGTGCCATGAAGTAATTGGTAGGAGAATGTAAATGTCAGATGTTGGCTGTATTTCACAGTTAATCAGACAACCGCTGAAGAAAATATTGATAGGTTAATTTTATTACCCATTGTCAAAGCTGATTACAATCAAATATTAACAAATCCTTAACTCTCAAAATCCTATCCAGTGTGATAGAAACTAGAGGAAAAAATACGGAAGTTGACAAACCTATCTCAACCAGGGCATGTCCCTCCTACTAATAGAACAGTGTTTTTCTGAAACAATGTTGTCAAATCCCTTGGTTGCTCATGACCTTAATGGATAGGAATGTTCCCTCAAGTAGACAAGCTGATTGATGATTATGAAAGCGGAAGTAAAACGCATCTCAAAGATTGTTTATTTTACTAGGACTTGTATGCTGCTCCAATCCAGAAGTGGGTATCGGGATCAAGGGTATATCTTGAAGGGTGAAAATGATAATCAAAAGCACATTGCAGGAAATGTGATCTGTTTTTAAAGAGGGATGTGAGCTATTGAAGAGAGGGGTTAAAGCTTGTTTATATATCGGCAGTTCCTCCCAAGGATGTTTCCATGTAACGTCTCACAGTTTCATGGTGCTGTATTAAGCCTTGTTTGCTGGCTCTGCTACAGCTAACCTGGCCTGCTTCCACATAAGCCACTACTGTATTGTTCTGGAATCTAAATGTGAATGGTAACTGGAAAGATGACATTTTGGTTGATCTCAAGAGCTTTACTAAGATGTTAAACATAGTGGGGTCTTTCATGACTACAGGAGACCTGAGGAGCAATCCCTCACACCTAACAGTTTTCTCGGTAATAGGAATGGAATTGATTTTTTAAAAACTTGGTTATGTTTTCATGCTTTGATAGACAGGTAATACAGAGCTTTTTTCGTTTAACATCAGTACATAGTTATGACAGTCTCAGAAAAGTGAATTAGGATCTATCCTCAAAGTTTACAACTGTCATAACACCCCCTTGCTCATGTGATCGCAAGGTGGGCCTTTGGCTACTTGTATTTACAATGGTTGTACAGGTATACAACAATTCACTTACACAACAGTTCACTCAGGTTACAACGGCACAGAAAAAGCGACTTACGACCATTTTTCACACTTCAGACCATTGCAGCATCCCCATGGTCACGTGATTAAAATCCAGCCACTTGGCAACAGACTCCTATTTATGACCATTGTAGTGTCCTGAGGTCATGTGATCACCTTCTGTGGCCTATTGACATGAAAAGTCAAGGGGAAGCTACTTCATGGCTGCACACTTAGGGGTTGTAGAACAGCCCAGGCATCCCTTGTTTTTAATTATCCTGCTGTTGAAGTATCCAAGCCTGGTTTCTTTACTTAAAGACCATCGTGAACACCCATACCGTATAAGTGATTATATCACTTGCAATTATGCAAATATTATAAACTCTATCTTCCTAAGGCATCCCTGGAGAGTAATACAGCAAAGCGTGGTTCTGTATTTACTGGTTTTATAAACCAAGTCAACCAGGCAGGGAGTCTTGAGGATCTGATTTTCATCTTCTGACAAAAAAATTTTTTTTTTACATTATCCCCCTACCTGTCCTCTTGTTCTCCCTCCCACCCCCCCACTGACCGGCAATTTGAATTCACCAAACCCAATAGGAGATCTTCCTACACAATTTCTTTCAAATTATCCCTAATGCAAAGCTTGGATAAGGAGCTTATATCTTGTGTGAGAAGGCTCTGCGGACTGGCTCAGTGCAGCCATTCATTTGCATTTTAGTAATAGTAAAAAGAAAAATCGAGCAAGAAATTTCCTTCCCTCAAAGTGGAAAGGTAATTTAACATTCATATCTAGTATGGTTTCATAATACGGTTGCACATTATGCTTAGCCATGTTGTAGCCATAATATGTAGAGGGTATGTTTACACGAACTATAAAGCATTTGAAAGAACTGTACATGTCTCTCTGCTGCTTCCAAACCTTTAACCTCTGGCCTGCATGGAGGATACAAGGTGGGGGTAAGGTAGGTAAAACTTCTCCGATCTGCTAAAACACAGATGGCCACTCGATGGTAGCATATCCCTTTGCAAACTTTTGTTTCCATCTACTGGTTTTCTGTATTTTTGACCTAAACAAGAACACCAAGGAGCAGGAGGAAACTCAAGTTTCTTGTATTCTGTGCATAATGGTTTCAACCACCAGTTTGGTCACCAGAAGGAAAAAACAACAACCCTGAAACATAAAAAAACATCTAACTGCATTGGCATCCGGCTTAGCACCTTTGTATTCATTC